CAGACGTGGGCTTTACAGACCTCATGTGCGAGCCGCAGGGCCCCGCCGGCACTTGCAATTACACGAGCCCGCACTTCAACGTCACGGAAGGTGTCGTGCTCACCGAGATGTACGACTCAAAGTACCTACCTGACATTGACGGCAACAGCTTTTCCGGACGGTATCTGGCATTCCTGGGGAGCACGAGTCTGCCCATCAAAGCGACCCTTTGGCGCGAGTGGCACGATAGCCGGTTGGTTGCGTGGAAGCATTTCGTGCCAATGGACAGCCGCTTTAACGATTACTACGGCATCATGGAGTACTTTTTGGGCTACGGAGGCGACAGGCCCGCGCATGATGCCGAAGCGGAGAAGATTGCGATGGACGGCAAGGCATGGGCTGAGAAGGCGCTGCGCAAGGAGGACATGCAGATCTACACGCTGCGACTGCTTCTCGAGTACGCGCGCGTGACGGACGAGAGAAGAGAGAGGATGGGCTGGGTCCACGACTTGCTGGCGGACAGCACGGGGACATGATGCAAGATATGGGCGCAGGTACAATTCATGAGCTGGGACTTGGGAATGGCGTTTGGGAATTGACGGAATGGGAATCTGTAGCTGTACGCGTTCCAGTGCGGTCTTTTTTACGGATGGATACCACGGCATTACAAAATGGGGATTCAGAAGAGGCCTACGGGCCACATCATTAGGTACAGTGTACAACAGAGACAGCAACAATCCATGTCTGATGTTCTTTTGCGTTTGGTTCACGTATGTGACACCATTGAGATCAAGAGAGGCGGCTCGGAGTTTGATCCGCAGATGCCGGCTGAAGCCGCCGACCCGGACGAGAGAAGCCGAGCGAAGCCGGTCGTGAGCGACGGAGTCCGCGTTGTATGCTTTGTTCGTTGACAGTCACTTGATGCATTTTCAAACAGCAGTCGCCGGCGGCGAGGCCACGGGGTTAATAGGATCGTGGCGCTTGCGAGGTAGTGAGGCAGCAGCACTAGTTTCGAGAATGCGAAGTTTTACGTAAACGCCAGGGATACTGCCATGTCATTGTCTGGACGTGCAGAGATGTGATGGCCAGGCCCTATCCGATGAGAAGAGGGGAACAGATCCGATCCAAGAGAGACGAGAAGTTGGTCACAATGTGGGAAAAGAGGAAAGAGAATTGCAATGGCTTCCGGTTTGTGCCGGGAGATGAGGATGGGCGTCATTGTCATGGGACCTCTGAGAGAGTTGGCCGTGGAGCTGATTGATAACGGCATGCAGGCGTGAATGCCGAGACTGAAAGCTGCGGTGTGGCCGCTTGGATGAATACGGCTTAGCCGACGGCCTGGTGAGATTCAATCTGATGTGAGCCCGTCGTCGATTGGAGCTGGGGGGGGGGGGGGGGGGGGGGGGAACGTGGAGTGTGTGATGTGTGATGTACATGGCTGGTGGGGCTGGCCTCGCGATGCGGTTTTGGTGTGGTGGAGGGCCTCAATTTGCTGGGCAGCACAGCGCAGATTGCTGAGGTAATCCCACATGAGCGAGTGAGCCAGGTGCTTGGAGATCGATAAGATAAGGCCTACGATAACGAATCCTAGAGCGAACCTCGAGAAATCGACACATTTGGAGTCATGTCGATGAGCAACGTCGAACAGCAGCCGTTCGCCGACCGCGACGACAGAGCCGACAAGCAGAGAAAATGAAGGACGAGAAGACGGGAACACGAAGCAGAGGGAGGGAGGGGGCCGGCTGATTCGTGTGCTCCCAACAATTCCTGGCGGACGGTGTGCGCAAAGCTATCGAGTGTAATACTTCGGGTCGCCCTGCCATTAGGGATATCACCAACTCGCGATGGGCGTGGGACGGGGGGGCGCCGGGCCTATTTAAATAATGCCTCGCACGCACACTCGGGGCTCACCTGCCGTTAAGTGGCACAGCTCCGGGCGCGCCAGACCCCTAAGTGCAGGTGCCCCAGCGGTCTCCAGCGGCCCCCAGCGGGGTCGTCGCCCGTCGGCGCCGCTAGGCACGGAGGCAGCTCCACTGATGTTCCCCTAAGTGCAGGTCTACCCGCGGTGGGGTTTCGGCGAGGGTCCCACCTTTACTGACTGCTGGAACGCTGGGCTGGTGTCATCCACTATGCACCGCCGTGGCCGCCGCTCCGAATGCGTTTGGATTGGAACTGAAGCGTGTAAGAGGCGAACACACTCTGACTCCAGCACAGCTGCTTCTCTGCCACTTGCGTCCGGGATGGATGCATGGCACGCGCCCTCTGAATCTCCGCAACCGCCACGAGCCGAGTCAAGTCCCAAGTCAGGTCTCATGGCCGTCGTCTTCGCTGCCGTCGTCGCGCTGCCGCCGGCGCCGAGGGCACGACGGAAAAGGATTTAGATGCCTCGAGTGCCACCTTCTTTTCTCTTGTCCCTCTTCCCTTCTCCTCCACGCCCAAAACGCATTGCTCCCCTTCACATCCTTTCCTTCCTTCTCCTTCTTCTTCGTTGCAAGACGTCCTCCTTCCATTGATACCCAGTTGTCGTTTCTTGTCCGTCACAATGCACACCTCCATGATCAAGTCCAAGTTCCTCAGCCACCCTGAGGATCTCGGCATCGTCGCTGTGGGCTTTTCGGGTGGCCAGGTAAGCTCGCTTGTTCGCCGTCTCTGCTCCTCGTTTCTCCGGTAGCTGACAACCCCGCCCCAGCAAAAACTCGGCGTCGACGCCGGTCCCAAGGCCCTGATCGACTCCGGCCTCATCACCCAGCTGCGCGACGAGCTCGGCTACAAGCTCCACGGCGACGACGAGGTACACTCGTACACCGACGTCATCCCCGAGTCGGACCCGCCGTTCCGCAACATGAAGAACCCCAAGGCCGTCTCCTCGGTGACCCAGCGCATCGCCGACCAGGTCTACCAGCAGTCGCGCCTCGGCCGTCTGACGCTGACGCTCGGCGGCGACCACAGCATCGCCATCGGCACCATTGCCGGCTCGGCCAAGGCCACCCGCGAGCGTCTCGGCCGCGAGATCGCCGTCATCTGGGTCGACGCCCACGCCGACATCAACACCCCCGAGACGAGCGACAGCGGCAACATCCACGGCATGCCCGTCGCCTTCGTGACGGGCCTCGCCAAGGAGGAGAAGCCCGAATACTTTGGCTGGCTCGGCGACGAGCACATGCTCAACATCAAGAAGCTCGTCTACATTGGCCTGAGAGACGTCGACGCCGGCGAGAAGAGGATCCTGAGGGAAAACGGCATCAAGGCGTTTAGCATGTTTGACATTGACCGGTAGGTTCTTCCGGCAGGCTGTGACGCCACACTGGGTGATGATTGACTGACTGGTCGTGGTACAGCTACGGCATCGGCCGCGTCATGGAGATGGCGCTCGCGCACATTGGCACCGACACGCCCATCCACTTGTCGTTCGACGTGGACGCGCTGGATCCCCAGTGGGCGCCGTCCACGGGCACGCCCGTCCGCGGCGGCCTCACGTTGCGCGAGGGCGACTACATCTGCGAGTGTGTGCATGAGACGGGCAGCCTCGTGGCGGTGGATCTGGTGGAAGTCAACCCGCAGCTGGCGGCCGACAGTGCAAGCGAGACGATTCGGGCAGGATGCTCGCTCGTAAGGTGTGCTTTGGGAGAGTCGTTGTTGTAGGCGAGGGGTGGTTATTTTGAGAGCGATAGAATGAGATAGAGGAGGACTTGTTGAACAAGAACAGATGGCAGCCAAACTCGGCTGCAGACATGATCTATGGCAGGTAAAAAAAAAAAAAAAAAAAAAAAAACACCTGAGATGAACGGAGAGAGATGTGGAAGTACAGAAAAGTATCAATAATACCACGCGGCAGGCAAATTGTATGCCAATTCATCCGTCTCTCCATGCGGCACATGAGTCTCACAGATGTATGGGAGCCCGACAGGGCGTGTCTACCAAGCTTTTTGATTTGACTTGTCCGGCACGCCCAACCCACTCACGAGGCAGCGGTGACAGCGGTGGCAGCGGCTCGGATGCCCCCCGGCTGCGGGGAGCAGTGGGTCTCGGGCCCGGACATGGCATTGGCCCTGATGGTGTGCGCTGTCGGGGGCCGCTTCCAGGCGGCCGACTGGCTGTACGGGCGCCCAGCCATCGCCATTTTTTGTACGCGGTCCGTCGCCCAGCCACCTGATTTGCAGGATCCGTGCGATGGGGGAGAAAGCCTTCTGAGGGTAGAATCATATGATGTTCCAGTGCAGATAGAGGAACTTTCTGGATCGTTTGTTGCGGCGACCGTTTTGCAGTTATTTGGGGTTGCAACAGCGCTACCGAACAAATTGGTAAATGCCAAGTTACCTACACTTCATCACCTATTTTTCTGAATTCGCCCCGCCGTTCGAAGCTTGAGGAGACGCGACTCGACGCGACGTCGCCCGAGACATTCGCCGCAATCCAGCCAAGCCCAGCAAGAGACCATCACCATCGAAGCCTGCCGCATCTCGCCTGCGTTGGGCTGCAGCTACGAGTGCCACTCGCCGAGGTGAGGCGAGACGCGAGCGACCCTGATCGAACGAATTGCCGTCGCAGCCCGACGCAACGCAACACTACGGCGACCGGGGGGGTTCAGCGGTTCAGCGGTGCAGCCCAGACTGGAATAGAGCCTCGCCGTCGCAGCAGCCCGCGCTCCCGTCGGCCGTTTCTTTTTCTCTTTTTGACGTGGCGCGTCCAGGAGCACCACGCTGCGACCGCATCGCATCATTCCATACAGCGTCGCTCTGCCTTGTGTCGAGGCTCACCCATCTTGGGTCCCATCCTCCCAATTTTATCTTCACTTCGCCTGCGCGTTTTATCACTGCGCAAATTGCGGCAAGGACGGGACCATTTCCGGAGTCTGCAACGGATTGGCGAACCTCACGCACCCGATTCACGAAGCAACGAAGCAACGACGTCCAAAATCACGATCAAGAGCGCGGAAATCACTGCCTACGTAGGCGATCCCCGAAGACCGACCTACGACCACCGCACGAAGAAGCGCAACGATCCAATAGGCCACGGCGAGGATGGCGGCATCAACACTCACGAGTAGTTCCTACTACGACCGCCGCGTCGTCGGCCGGGTTCACAGCTACCAATGGCCCGGCATCCAGCTGAACCTCTGGATCCTCATCATGCTCGTCGCGTCGTGCCTCATCATCGGCGTCTTTGCGTCCTTTATCGAGATCCAGAACCAGCTGCTCCTGCCGATACCATGGTCCGTGACGGGAACCCCCCCCCCCCCCCCCCATGCGCTGCTGCGGGCGGAATGCTGACGATAGCAGGTACTTCCCCTACTACATCACCGTCGCGTCGCTCGTCATCATCTTCATCGGCCTGCTGCTCTATCTCGTCTACCAGCGCCGCCTGCTGCCCGCCATCGTGATGATTGGCGCGTTCATCCTGTTCGTGCTGTGGTTTGTCGGCCTCGTGGTCGTGAGCATCCAGCTCTGGGGGCCAGACGGGTCGGTCTCGAGTACGTGCAACCTTGCCGTGTTCAATCGCAACCCGACAGGCCAGAGCCTGGATACCCTTGCGTGGCTGCAGCAGAGGAGTATATGTAGGTTTTCCAGCGTGCGCAAGTCTCGCCTGGGTGGTTGCTGACTGTGAGTGTAGGTCAAGCCTGGCAGGCGGTGTTTTCGTTTGCGCTGGTCGGGGCGTTGTTTTTGGTCTGGATCATGGTGATGGCGTTCCAGGTCTTTGCCGCATCGTGAGGAGGACGCAGTCACCAGCCGGTTTCTGACAGTTTTTGGATGGAGTGAGCTTGCTTGACGACGGAGGCATTTGCAGCGGCTCCATGTGTGACGGCTTAATGGCGGCGGCGTTTTGTTTGATTTCGACTGCATATACGGCGGTGTCTACGAGCACCGGACACCTTTTTCTGATGTCGACGAGGCTATGACAAAGATAGACGGGCCACTATCTGTATGACGAGGTAGTACTAAGTAGATAATGTTGAAGTTGTGTTACGTGATGAAATGCGACTGCGCGGCCTGCCGGCGTCTGCCTGGCAAAGGGCAACGACTGACGCAATCCCGTAGCATCAGACGAAAGACCGTCGGTTGACAGTCCGTCAGCGCATGAACCGTTCCCGTCTGGATCAACGACTAACTTCCATCATCGTCACATGTTGGGGCCCTACGCCCGGCCCGACTGACGTAGATAAGTCTCACATCCCGGCGGCGCTCCCCGGCCTGGGGCGTACCTGAGGGATGCCGAACTGCCGGGCCAAGTAGATGCACAAAGGCACACGGCAATGTTCTTATCTGCCTCCATCCGTGAATATCGCAGGAGGGGCCGTGGATGGGTGAGGACCCTTGGTCTTGGCATTTCTTTTCATAGTAGCAGTGACAGACATTCTCCAGGGGCGGGCGGCTTGCTGGGGAGGAGGGACTGGCATGCATGCATTGTGAGGCTGATCAAGCTTGTTTTCTCCGACCAAGGTGCGTTGGTTGGGAGGATCGACGGGCGGACGGTAGTTTGGCGATGACGTAGTGGTCTGCATTGGCTGGCGGCGCTCCGAAACTGGGAATCTGCGTCTGGAGGGGGCCCGGGATTGAGGCGATTAGCGTCATGGTGGGAACACTGCGAAGGTTCGATGGGGAAGGCGGGGGAGGGGCGATGATGAAAGGTCGTTTTGATGCAGGTTTTTGGGTGCAGATTCGAGGGTGGTGGAATTGTACATAAGAAGGGGGGTTTCCTGCAATGTTCAGTGTCTAATTCAGATACGACGACCACCAACACACATACCAAATATTTGAAAAACCCAAACATCACACATCACCATCAAAATGAACCCCTTCAAGAGCAGCAACAACCAGGCCCAGGCTGCCGGTCAGTCTAAGGAGGACCCTGTCGACAAGGGTATGTGATGCAGTGCCGTCCACATTGTCCACAGCAAAACTGACGGAGCCTATCTAGCTTTTGACTTCGCTTCCAAGAAGGCCGGCCACGACATGCCCCGCAGCACGGATGAGAAGATCACCGATGCTGGCCGCAACATGTACGAGAAGGTGACTGGGTAAGTGGTCTACGTAGGTCTCTGAATGAACTTTGCTGATAGTTTTTGGTGTTTAGCAAGAAGGTCAACCCTAAGATTTCCAACTAGACGGTTATGCTGTACGACGGATATGACTTGTAATATGAAAGGGGATATGGATAAATAGACAATCGGAATTGTCGAGACCATTAATACTATGTTGCATTGAAATCTTGAACTTTTCATCAACTGCTATACAATGGAGGATAGTAATACAACGATCATGAGCTGGATTCATATGGGATTTATGTCTGTCGTAACTGTGACGATGGAATCATGCCTAACCTTCAATCGTACATGTGAATACCACTTGTGTAAGACTAGTATTCAAGGATACAAGGCCCTCCGGATTTGGTTCGCGGCTTCCCCTATTGCCTGCATCTGCCACCGCGACTGAAGGAGCGACGCTCCACCAATGGCAATACAGCAGCTGGTTGCGGCAGGATCACGACAAGATGCGCGACGTGGGATGGCACCGGCGGCTGAGAGGGGGTCTGTGCGTGTGGCTTCGGGCGGGGCGAAGGACTGGCCGGGGGTCTGCCCTTGTCGTCGCCTTCCGGTAGCACTCTTTTCCGACCCGGCAAATGACTAATCACACAGTCAACCAATCCAGCGATCTTACTCAGGGGGATGGGTCCCCCACCTTTTTCATTTCGGGCTAGTGCGGGTGCCCCAGCAACCACTCGATTCAGCCAAGAGGAAGGCGGGCAGATAGATGGGCGGGCAGTCAGGCACGGCAGGCAGGGACCACGGCCGATGCAATCGCGATTTTGGCACTTTGTTTGAATGGTTCGTGACAGGGACCCTTCATTAGCATTGGCCACGGCATTTACGAACACAGAAACTCGAGCCATCGAGTAAGGTGGATGCAGGAGTGAAGAAAAAAACACTGAAAGAAAGAGGTACGTGCGCATGCCTCCCGTTCCATGCAGCCAAATGAGCAGCAGGCAGGTGTGTGTGGCCCGGCCCAGCCCAATCCAGTCAATCCAGGCCAGGCCGCGTCGCTGCAGTCAGTGCCACAAGCACCACAGACACTGGACTGGGTCGTCAGGAGAAGAAGGAAGCAAAGAGAGGAAGAGAAAAAAGAAAAAAAAAAGAAAAAGGACTTGGGTTTTGACACCTTCTAGCTTGATCGCCGTCGCTGCTTCGCCCATTGACCCTGTCAGCGAATTCGCAACATCGCGCCTAGCTCACACAACTCGATAACCCGACAACTCGACAACCTCGACGGCATTGGACAACCGCCCCCGACCGGCCACCTTTTCTCGACCTCGACCGCCAGACGACCTATCACCGGCTGCGCAACACCCAGACAAAGAGTTCGGTCCCTCGACCAGCCGAATGCATCTCCAGAGTCGCCCAGCCACACTCCACCATGGACGATGAGGCGAGTCGGCCCCGGAGCCGCCTCGACGACTCCTCACGCCCAACAACCGCCCGCCGTGTCAATCACGACAGCGACAACGACGACAGTTTGCGCATCGACATCCATGAGCCCGAGCCCGAGCAACACCATTCAGACTACCGGGAGAACAACAGCACCACACCGACCCCGGACGAGTCGCAGCTCACTCCCACAAAGTCCAATTCCCATCATGAGTCTGCCCCCGACCGCCACTCCTCCTCCAACTTCGTAGACGACCGCAAACCCCCAAACGACTCCATGTTGCCTCCCCCTCGGCCACAGACCAACGCCGTCCTCGACAGCAGCTTCGTCGAGGGTCCTGCCTACGACGACTCCCGCCATGGCGATTCTATCGCTGAATCCGCCGTCCGAGCCCACTTGCAGGACGTCGAGTCCAGCTTCGTCTCCCGCCTGTCCCCCATACCCACGATAACCCACGAGGGCGCCGACGACACATACCTGTTCGACGGCGCTGCCTCGACAAAGTCTGCCGCTCGCAACCAGCCACCCGCAAGTCCTAGTACCAGCCCCAGATCCGGCGCCCAACCCGCCGACAAGTCAGGCCTTGGGGACTTCACCGAGCTAAAGCCACAGGATTCTGCCTCCGTCGACATCTCCAACACGACCTCCTCTCTCGAGCACATGTCGTCATCTCCAGCCGCAGCAGCAGCCGCACGAACCATCTCGCGGGCCCTGTCCAGCGCAAGCAACCGAACAGACAAGCAACCACAGGGGCCATCCGCCGCCGAAGACATGGACGAAGAGCGCTTGCATACACACGCGGAATCAGAGGCCGAGTCCACTTCCACGACGTTACGGAGCAAGCGATCTGACGGTAGCCTGCGCGGCGGCTCCGTAGACGCCGGCAGCACGCCAGGACACGCTCTGCGCTACGGCACACGGCCCAAGTACCTTCGAAGCCGCGGCGCCAGCCAGAGATCTTCCGTTTCTTCCTTCGTCACCAACCCCGACTTGCACGACGATCTCGAAAGCGATCCGCCTACAGCCAATCTCGGGGTTGATTTCGCCCTCCAATCCGGCGGCGCTGCCACAACCACGAGCCTGCCCCGCAGCCTCAGCAGCATCCTGTCACGATCAGTCAGCATCGGCAGCATGGTTTCAGGCATGGACGACCCTGAGTCTCTGCCAAGCCAGCTGGAGACGCTCGACGAGGTCGAGACCGGATTCACCCCTCGTCGACCGAACAGGAACGAAGACCTCCTCGCCACCCCTAAACCATCCAAGGAAAACCTGACCGCCCCAACCGACACAGTAATCGCCCGCCATGTTAGGAACGTGCAAGTGCCCGAGTCGCTGGCGCAGGAGTACAGATCTAAGAGTGGCTTCGTCACGCCTCGCAAGCCCTCGGAAGCACCGCTCGGCGCCTCCACGCGGTCGGGTAAGAACCTGACGCTGAAGGAGCAGAGCAGCACCATCGAACGACTGTCCAAGGAGAACTTTGACCTGAAGCTCAAAGTCATGTTCTTGAGTGACCGACTTGACAAGCTCTCCGAAGAGGGTGTTAAGGAGATGATCTCGGAGAATGTGGAGCTCAAGACAAGCCTGGCCGTCATCCAGCGCGACAACAAGGCGCTGCGGAAGAAGGTCAAGGAGCTGGAAAAGCAGCTCAAGGACGACCACGAGCGACCCGGAACGGCGAGGAGTGGCGGATCATCCAACGACTCGTCCGACCAAGATGCCCAAGAGCGTGAAGAGGAGCTTCTGTATCTGAGAGAGCGCATGGAAGCCTACGAGACCGAGTTCGAGAGGCTCAGGAAAGAGAGCATGTCCAAGGAGGCCGAGAAGCGCAAACTCGCCGAGGTGGTCAAGTCATTGGGTGAGAGGTCAGGTGGTAACCTCGGAAGCCAGGAGGAGGCGGACGTGTGGAAGGATCTTCTCGAACAGGAAACCGCACGTCGGGAACAGTCTGACGAGGACAATCGCAAGTTGCGCGATGAGATTTTCCGACTGAAGCAAGAGATGTCCAGCGCCCACGGCGGCCTGCATCATACGACCAACATTTACAATATTACGAAAAAGCAACGGCAGACTTCACCAAGCCGGCCTGTCTCGGGACTGTCGGGTGACATCGAAACGAACGGCGGATTCAGTGCTGCTAGCACCCTGGTGGACGAGCTGCGTAGGGAGAGCGAGCAGTTGCGACACGAGAAC